CCGCTTATCCGGGACCGGGTCGCGGGGGCAGCAGTCTAAGCAAAGATGCCCAGACTTCCCTCTCTCCAGACACTTCCTCCAGCTCCTCCGGGGGAATACTGAGGCGTTCCCAGGCCAGCCAAGAGACAGTCCCTCCAGTGTGTCCTGGGTCTTCCCCGGGGCCTCCTCCCGGTGGGACATGCCCGGAACACCTCCCTAGGAAGGCGCCCAGGAGGCATCCGAAACAGATGCCCGAGCCACCTCAGCTGGCTCCTCTCGATGTGGAGGAGCAGCGGTTCTACTCTGAGCTCCTCCCGGGTGACCGAGCTCCTCACCCTATCTCTAAGGGTGCGCCCGGCCGCCCTGCGGAGAAAGCTCATTTCGGCCGCCTGTATCCGGGATCTTGCCCTTTCGGTCATGACCCAAAGTTCATGACCATAGGTGAATGTCGGAACGTAGATTGACCAGTAAATCGAGAGCTTCGCCTTACAGCTCAGCTCCTTCTTCACCACGACGGACCGGTACATTGACCGCATTACTGCAGAAGCTGCACCGATCCGCCTGTCAATCTCCCGTTCCATCCTTCCCTCACTCGTGAGCAAGACCCCAAGATACTTGAACTCCTCCACTTGAGGCAGGAACTCCCCACCAACCTGAAGGGAACAAGCCACCCTTTTCTGTCTTTTTTTGTCTTACAGCTGATGTTCCATGTAAATGAATTGCGAGCTGGTGGCTGGTGTCCTGTTTGACACAGGTGGTAGAAACCTACACTTGACTCTAGTAGGGACAAGAAAAGCCTCCAGCTGCCGGAAGAACCTATATTCCCCAGAGAGCACTTTTTCTGTCTCATGTTGCGGTGTCCTGCAGGTCAGAGAGCTCTGTAATGATGCAGATTTCAGTGCTGGTGGTGGTAAAGGTGGTGCCCTTTTGCATTGGTCTATCAGTTACATGTATGAGTACTTTATGTGTAGAAACAGTTTATCCATGGTTGTATGTATTGCAGCTATGGAATTTTTTAAAATAAGTATCATTGATATGCCTCTGCCTTGGTTGTCTCCTTTTTCCACCTTTTGAACAGATGTGGATCAGTGTGTGGGGGAATTAACAGCACATAACTGCCATTACTTCATAAAAAAGCCTTTTCAGAGTGCAATGAGCTGCCTGACTCGTGTATCATTGTTTCAGAATGAGAGGGACTTTTTCTCTAAAGCAGCGCCAGTCATTCAGAGAAAGGTTGGTTTAGAGAAAGTCCATTAATAATTCAGTTGAATCTCACAGGTTTCCTCTCAGGGTATTTTTTTTATGATGAATAAACTGCATGAAGCATCCAGATACACACAGTAGTGATTATTAGAATTTATAAAATAAGGCTTAACCAAAGTTATAAGGTCAATGATGTTTGTAAATGTTAGCAAAGATAACACACATCAAGAAGGAACAAACTCCTGAGCAGTATTTTTCTTGACTGATAAAGGTCCTGAAATGTTGCCTTCACTCCATGAGGGATGTGTGGGAGTTCTGTTTCATAACAACTAAAATTATACAAAGAAAAGTGAATGAAATGACATTTTATGACTGACTTCACTTTTTCAACTTGCAATATAGTTACCATTTCGGGGGTATGTGTATCTTGTGGATGTCTAGTGCAAAACACTTAGTTGGTGGTTAGCAGTATTATACAGTAAGTCCTTCTTCATGAAGCCAATAATGTTAAGTAAATGTTGATATTGTAGAGAAGTATTGGTTCAACTGATGGTAATTTTAGAAGCTGTAGTTTGTGGCTACTGTTGAGCTGTACATCAGTATACAGAGAGGTGTTTGTTATTTGGCCTATCCACATATGAATGGGTGGACGGAATAATAAAATAAGTGTCAGAATAATGCAGTACAGTTCAACAGCAGCACATTACATCCTCCAAAATGATCAAACCGTTGACTTAGCTTACCTCAATGGTTTCAACAAAAACTGAACATTATCACCTTTTATGGAGGATTAACTGCGGTCTTGTTGGATTAGGCTGCATTAGTTTAGCTAGGCTAGGTATAGCTACTGAGGTGCCAACTGAATGTATATGCTGCATATGCAGATTTTATTCATTTGTGTGTATGTGATGATACGCATTCACCTCCAGTCCTGCACTTTGCTGAGGTGACACCTTTTCATAAGATTCATTCTGCGAAACGCTGTGTCACACTGCTCTATTTACGTGGGGACAGGAGGCAACAGCCACTTTTGAAATTAACCCTTTCTGAACCAGGATGTCACTTGCCACACAGATGTGCACGGTGTGCAGTAGGCTTGGTTGTGCAGCCCAGTCTAAATGAATCAGTAGAAGGTTGATATGACTGGGACCGGTGGCCATTTGGGCCTGGGATGACAAAGCAATGACCTCAGCAAGTCTCACTCCTGCAGAATGTGAACTACCAGTCAGATAGATGGGAAGCTCACAGTGCAATTGGCTGCAATATACTCTCTCTCTCACACAGACACACACACAAACCCACAAATGTTCTTTATGTTCCAGTAAGGTGGCAGAAATGACCGGGAAAATAGTCATAAACTGTATCTTGTATCGTCAGCATGTATTAATAACTTCCACTTTACCATACAGAATCCATTGCAGAATAAGCTAGCTTGGCGTTTTTTTGACAATGTATTTTATGTTAGTGTTGGCCAGATGGCAGGCAGTGTTTCAACAAATGAGTCATTTTGGATGAAAATCTAATATGCTTAGATCAATGTTCAGTGTGGGGGCTGCTCAACTGACTGTAATCTGTACACTAATTATTGAAACTGTGAACTTTTCTATCTAGTTGATCTTTACCCAGTAATCCTGGTCTAAATAGAGGGACAGACATGTAAAAAACATCTACCTGCACAGGATCAAACTGAGAGAGACCTTCCAGTCTGGTCTGTGTTATCAGCGATTGTAGCGAATGTGTGTTTAGTGGCCTCACATTTTGCACATTTTGTGCCTTTTTTGTCCATTAACACTTAGTAACACATAACGAAAAAGTGAAAACGCTTTTGGAAATGTTTACTAAGTTGTAAAAAATCTAAAGAGTCTGAATACTTTATTCAGATGCTTAAATCAGTTCTTTGGATGTTATTAGCCAGGTGATGACTGCTTAAAAGGTTCAGTTTTTGTCTCATCAATCCAGAGAATCTAATTTACCTTGTCCTCTGAATCCTTTAAATACCGTTTGGCCCATGCCTTCTGTCTTACCATCTCTGCTAGAGTGACCGCTGTATTCGTGGTCACCTTACCTACTGAGCCTGGCCGGGCAGCCGCCTCTAGGAAGACTCCGTGCTTCCACACTTCTTCTACTTTGCTATTTTCAAGGCCACTCTGCTCCAGGGAACACTCAGAGCTTTAGTAATTGTCTTACACCCTTGTTCTAGTCTATGCCTTGCCACAGTTTTACCACAGAGTTCTTTGGACTTCATGGGTTGGTTTTTGGCCTGACATCTCATCTAATGTGAGCTGCGGGACCTTATCTACACAGTTATGTGCCTTTCTAAACTATGGTCAGTCAATTTCGTTTACCACAGATGGATTCCAGTCAAGTTCTAGACACATGTCAAGGAAAAGTAAAGCAAACAGGATCCACCTCACTGCAATTTAGAATGTGATTACTTTTGTAATGAGCATTTTCCATTTTTGATTTTTTAAATACATTTACAGAAATCTCTAAAGGTGTTTTTGTCTCACTAATTGGATATTTTGTCCATTTAAACTGAAATCATCAACACATTAAGGTCTTCAAAAAGTGAAGGGGCTTATTTTTCTGAAGCCACTGTAGTAACCATTTATAATGCACTGAAGGTAAATTCCGTGCCCTTGTGTTATAGGCCATAGTGAGTCATGATTACCTTTTTAAGTGTACATGTTGTTCTTCTCTTCTCCTTAGCTAAAAGCAGAGATGTCTTACACAGTAAACTAGACTCTGAGGTTGTACCCAAAGTGGCTCGCATGACTGTCTCTGGCAAGAAGCAGACCATGGGCTTTGATGTTCCAAGGTAACTACAGTACCACACATCTGCACACAAATACACATTGTTCTTATGAAACAGAACAAAAAACATTTAAAGAAATAAGAGAGAAATATCTCTTCTTAAAATATGATTTTTGCAGCCTCAAGCAAGTATAGCTATTATCTGCTGCAGAGTTGTATTGCTTTGAGATTAAACCCATCCACCATTTCTCCTCAGCACAGCGGAAAACGGTGTTGTCACTACTTCAGGACGCAGAGGCGGCAGCCCTGAAAATGCCACAGTAACACCCGCCACAGAGGCCACATCCAAGCGTCCTGAGACACCATCCAAAGGGTCAAATGGTGATGAGACTTCCACTGCTCCCACTCCTGGCCGCTCCTCTGGAAAGGCCCGGCAGGCGATCAGTATTAAAGCTGAGCTGGAGAAGAGGCAGGGGGGCAAACCTCTGTTAAATTTGGTGGTTATAGGTAGGAAGAAAAACCAGCCTTTCATATAGCTTTATTTCAGTTTATAGCAGCTTTTAAAATATTTTTTTTCTTATATTTAACAACATGCATTATGGTTGCATCAGAATGTACACACATCGCAGAATGACTGGTGTGGGGGAGTAAATCGCCAGATTAGGTTTTTCCCATATCCTTTATTAGTCAAAAGTGCACTGTGTTCATTCTACAGTTTAAGCCATTTGCAGTCTAATATTTACATGTAATGTCGATCATTTAATTATTTTGAATCTCCCTCTTTGTTGTCCTTGTTTGTCATGCATATGTCTTAAGCTTAATAATGCTAAATGTGTTGAACTGCAGACCAGTGCAGTTGCACAATTGTATTTTCTTGTTCTCAGTTACACCAGAAAAAGTGACTTTGTAGTTTCAGAAGTGCAGATGATTCTAGTTTCCCATAGTCTGTGAAACCTTTCGTTTTACCATCGTCCTCTCCCTTCCCCCCTCACACTCGATCCTTGTTCCTATTTCTGTCTGCCTCCCTTCACTTGTGCAATTCTGCTTCTTTCCTTCTTCCATCTGTGGCTTCCTTTTGCCATATCTTATGTTCTCTCTTCCCCTACCTATCTTATCATTCTTATTACAGTCTTCCTCTCTGTCTTCATTCCTCCCTGGTGTCTTCCCCACCCTCTAAGCCCCCTTTCTCGATCACTACCCTTTACATCCTTAATTCCTTGGCATTATTAAATTATTTCCTCTTTTTCTGCAGGTCATGTGGATGCAGGTAAAAGCACACTGATGGGCCACCTCCTTTATCTGCTGGGCAACGTCAACAAACGCACCATGCACAAGTATGAGCAGGAGTCAAAGAAGGCAGGAAAGGCCTCTTTTGCTTATGCTTGGGTTCTGGATGAAACTGGCGAGGAGAGGGACAGGTACATTTTGGTGTGAAGCCACAGACAGAAAAATAGGCATGGCCAGTGGTAGTGCAGATGTTTGCTAAACTGTCTCATCCAGCTGTGTACTATTGGTTGAGAACAACCAAATCTAGATGGACAAAACATTCTGGTGTACTAGTACTAGTGACTGGAAGTCAATAGGGATGGGACAGTATATTGAAATTCAATATACCACAATACAAAAACATCACAATATGTATTGTTTTGTCTAGCTATATATATCGTGTGGTCTCCATACACCAGCGACGTCATATTTTTAGTAAATAAGATAGCATAACAATGTTAGTTACTATATCTGGGTGTGTCTATACATAATCAAATCAGTATTAGAAAAGATAGTCAAACATTGTCACTGAATTTTTAATTGTATCTTGATTGAATCAAACTGTACACATCATATTGTGCATCAAATCGTATCAAGAAAAAGTCATATTGTCCCATTAAGTCCATGTACCCTTATATGGCAGTCCAGCTGTTCAGTACACCAGACGGGATTATTTTATTTGTAGTATGTTTACTGTGTTTTCACTGAGTTTTTATTTTCACACAGTTATGGAATTTGATTTTTTTTCAACTAGGTTAGATAGTTAAAAAAACAACAACACATGATTGCTTGTGTTTTGCTCCAGAGGTGTGACAATGGATGTGGGCATGACCAAGTTTGTGACCAACTCTAAAGTGGTGACACTGATGGATGCACCAGGACACAAAGACTTCATCCCCAATATGATTACAGGAGCTGCACAGGTATAGCATGTCAAAGTCTTCAAGCACCCTGCACTATGCATATAAACCATGGCACAATGGATGAGATATTTGCAGTTGTCATATCTCTCAGTGTTGCTGTATTGGTTGTCATATATAGGAAGAACATTCAGTATATGAGTGATGGAAATAGGCACTGGAAATGTGTGTAACCCACCTGTAGTTAATTTCAGAAGTACAATACTAGGTGCTTTCGGACTGGAGGACCTTTTTCATAGTTCTTACAACAATTGGGAAAAGTATCTCCTTTTTTGTGTGTCCGCACTGGAGAAACTGAAAATGGTGATAGTTCTTAGAACGCCTTTGTTTCTTAGCTCCTACTTCATGGTACTCTCCAAGCGCAATACGAACCATGAATGATGATCCTGTACGTAGACTGCAGCACTGCTAATTGTCAATTTTTAAAAATCGTGTTAGCCATGTATAGTGATCAGTAGCCAGAGGCATGGGGAGCTGCAGTCTGCCAATGGAAGCCTCTGCAGAGGGTTTGTGGCTCCCTATATAATTAATGTTAGCAGCATAGAACTTAACAGCAATGTAATGTGTGTTAACTGTTGTGAGCTTGCTGGTTAATCACTAACAGTCAGCCGGCTTAGTGTTTCGTCACTTAGGAATAAAGCACTTATAAAATAATAGCCATAGTCCTTCCAAAAAAAAAAGGTGTCAGCGCTCCCACTGGTGGTGCCAAAGCAAACAGAAAAAAGGCCAATGTAAAGGTGTAGAACAGTTTTAGTCTGAAAGAGGCTAATAATACAGGATCAAATCAAAACATCCATACATTATCTACGTATATTGCTTATTCTGTAGCGGGTCATGAGGGTGCTGGACACAGTGCTAGCCAACACTGGGTGAGAGGCAGGCTGCACCCAGGACAGACTTCCAGTCTGTCACAGTGCTGACACATTCGAAACAGGCAACCACTCACATTCACATCTATGGGCAATTTAAAGTCACCCATTAACCTATTCTACATGTCTTTGGAGGAAATCCATTCAGGCACAGGGAAGCTCAAAACAAACAAACTACATACTCTTTATGTACGCGCTCCTAAATCTTCCATAGGTGTTCAACTCGGTTGAGATCTGGTGACTGCGAAGGCCATAGCATATGATTCACATCATTGTCATACCCATCCAACCATTTGGTGTTCCCTTGTGCCCTATACATAGTCATGACATACTGTCATCCTGGAGTCTCCTCACTTATCTTTTTCCTTTAATTTGTCACCCAAATTCATCAAGGTATGTAATTACACTGATGCAATAATCCAACCCTATCATGAAGCACCCCTGCTCATTGATTTGCAGCATGGCCAATAATGACCTATAGATACAGTGACATTGAAGAGGTAGCTACCAGGGTGTAGGGTGCTGCTGCCCCTACATTTAGAATTCACAAAATATTAAAATTCTTCTAATACCTTCGTATATATCAGTTAGCTACAAAAGTAGCTCAACACTCTAAGATCATCTTGCATGATCCTCATGGTTAAACAAAGCATTTCTCTAACCTAGCAAACCTCTGCCTGATTAAAATGGTTCCTTTCCATCCTTTAGCACACCTTACACTTGCCACACCCATCTGTAAGATCTGAAATAGCTTTTGTGGTTTTGGGTGTTGGTGTCACAAGGTGTCTTTGCAGACATGGGTGTGCTTGTTTGTCTCTGTTTTGGGGTATTAATATAATTTCTCTTTTTGCCTTATGACTGTCCTCGTATTTAGCCTCCTCATATAGTGACTAAGGAGTTTCTGCTGTAAGCAAATTAAGGTGCTAAACATGAACTATGAGGCTTTAGATGATATGAGTATCTCAGCCTGCAGGTACCTCCAATAAAGCATGTGTTGATTCATTAAAGAAGGAAGAAGAATTGCAGTAGTTCTACATTACTGCCTGTATGGTGTATTTTGCTTTCTTATACTTGCATTAAGACATTATTGTGATAGCTTTGTAGTGTTGTTTTCTAACATTGCAGACACTTAGGGCTCTTAAGCCTCATAAAAGCGCACTCATTTTTGATCTAAAGAAAAATGAATTCAGCTGTTAAATTGATTTTAATGCTCACATCTGCCCAGCAGAAAAAGAAACATCTGTTATCTTTCTCATCGCTTCTCTCTTCAGGCTGACGTGGCGGTGCTCGTTGTGGATGCCAGCAGAGGAGAGTTTGAGGCAGGTTTCGAAGCAGGCGGCCAGACCAGAGAACATGCCCTGTTGGTGCGCTCGCTGGGCGTCACACAGCTAGCTGTGGCTGTCAACAAGATGGACCAGGTCAGAGCTGAAAGTTTTATTTTCAGCACCACAATTTGTGGGGCTGCAGCTGTTATTTTCATTATTTCTCATCAGCTCCCAAATACAGCAGCTAGTCTAACATACAGCACATACAAATAATATTGCTCACCTAATTGGTACTGTACAAAAGTCTTAGGCCACCATTAGTTAGGCTGCAACCCTCATTCTTTCACCTCTCTCCAACTCTTCTTCTCATATACCGTCAACAACTGGGCCTGAAAATTCATTGATACAACAGATCTTGTGAGCTGTTGCATATCTCAGTTTTTTCCCTGTTTCCTAATGAAAAAGTGGTGTCTTGGCTGCTGTTCTTCAAGGCCATTCCTGATTGAGCTTCTTCGGACTATGGAAGGATCAACTTGGCATCCAGATGAAGTTGCCAGGTCCTTGCTGGATTTCCTCCGGTCTCTCATAGAAGAAACTCTGAGAAACTTCTCATGAGATTTGAACAGTTTTCTTTGTCCACTCCTGTTTTTGTCCTTGACCTCTCTTGTTGTTTTATGCTTCTTTAGAACAGCTTGATACCACATCTGGAGTATCTATTGTTTGCAGAGTTTTTCAGACATTTTTTGTGTATTATTTTAAAATACTGTGTACATATTTCCTATATTTTCCAATTCCGTTCTATAAATAAATATATAGTCGTCATAATATTGCTAATTCAACAAATCTAATGGTGGGCTGAGACGTTGCACAGTACCGTATATGAAATCTTGAGCCATGGCATAGCATGGTGTTCCTTATCTATTTGCAAAAATCTGACTTTTTGGGAGGAAAATTGGTAGAAAGTGAAAATGATCAGGAAAACACTTTATTAGTTGACAAACTGGACTTTACTAAAAACAGATACTTCTGTTGGATATAAGATTTTCTCAAAGTTTGTAACTTAACACCTCTAAACATTTTTGCAGGAGTGCAGAAGGCCGCAGGGAGCTGTACACTCATGATTGTGTTTTTGTTTCCTATAATCACTGGCATGTTGCTGACACATTTCCATTTCAAAGCCGCGCTGAAGGGGAAACTTTCTGTGTATTTTTCCTTTTCTCTTTATGTGTGTATACAAAATCAGGTAAGCTGGCAACAAGAGCGTTTCCAAGAAATCATTTCCAAACTTGGCCATTTTCTCAAGCAGGCGGGATTCAAAGTAAGTTGGCACCACATCTCGATATTAGTATCAGAATTTTACATGTATTTTTAAAAAAATCATTTTTAAAGTTGGCCAAGAACAAGTAAACAGAGCAAGTCTGGCCTTCCTTTTGTTTGATCTGGTGTTTTATCTGCTTTTGCAGGAGTCTGATGTTTTCTACATCCCCACCAGCGGCCTGTCGGGAGAAAACCTGGCCACCAGGAGTTCACTGTCACAACTCACCTCTTGGTACTCTGGACCCAGCCTCCTGGAGCAGATTGGTAATGTGCTCTCACGTGGTTTAAGAACAAAACATTTACTGCCTTCAACACTTAGATGTAGGTTTCCCTAAGGAAAAGAAGAAAATGGTCACAAGCTGCATTTTCAACCTTTTTTCACCATGTGTAGTGATGTTACAAATGTTCAAACATAGAACTCTTAGTTTTTTGTGCAAGTTTATTTGCCATCCTTTAAAGAAAAAAACAAACTTGATCTTAAGGAAATAAAAATCAAGCAGCAGAATATAACTTCAGCATCTGTATTTTTTTTTTCCTGAAACCGGAGAATCCACGTTCTTAAAACAGGTTGATTTGCTTATATAACTACTATTATCCAACTGTCCCAAATCTGTTGGAAATCAAATATGTACTTTTCATGTACTGTTTGACATTGAAAACACAAATTTGAGTAAAAAATATTTTCAGAATGACTCACTGCAGCACAGAATGACTGGTTGATAACGAAGCGGAAATGAAGTATAGGTTCTTGACGGTTCTGTGTGCGTGTTGTTTTTCACACATTGCTGGCAATGTCAATAAAGTGCTGATCATAGTGTGGTCTTAGTCTGTTAGATTATAATGTTCATCCCAATGAAACTGATTCATCGCCCACACCAGATTTGTCTTAATATTTACTAACCTTCCTCATTGTTCCTCTGCTCCTTTTTCCTCTTTTTTTTGAAGATGCCTTCAAAGCCCCTCAGAGATCTGTAGAAAAACCTTTCAGACTGTGCGTCTCTGATGTGTTCAAAGGTAAAATCAGTGATGCACACTTAAATATTCTTAATTATTGTCTGAGATTTTGTTGATGTCTCTTTTCGTTTCTCTTTTTTTGAATTCAAGAGATTGCTGATGTTGCATTTTCTCTTCCCAGACCAGGGTTCCGGCTTCTGCGTCACAGGGAAAATCGAGGCTGGTTACATTCAGACTGGAGACAGAATATTGGCTATGCCTCCCAATGAAACCTGCACCGTCAAGGGTATGCACCATCTTTGCTGCAGTTTTGGTACTTTGTGGCCTACATGATTCATTTTCTTAATAGACAGTAATAAAAAAAAAGATGCAAAATGTTTTAAAATTATTAATCCTGGGGCAGTTTAAGAGCAAAGTCTCAACAAGGTTATCATCTGCAGGGTATAAATCCTGAACCTGATAAGTCTGTGCAAGCGGCTGCTGTTTATAGGCTGACAAGAAGGCACTATTCTTTTTGTTTCAACATCTAAGCACCACATTTCTGTAACCATAAGGAAGAAACATTAACAGTAGTGATGACAATAAGAAGTTATTTACACACCAAAATTCATTAAAGAAGATGAGCTTAAGCAAAATAAAATGCATACACAAACACAAATCATGAAAGAAGAAAAACCTTGGCACTTTTTTTTTTTTAAATTGACATGTCAGTTTCAAACACGCATATCTGAGTGCAGATGGCTGAATGGGTGGTAATAAACACTGCCATCCTGTGGCAGCTGGCTGACTTGACCTCCATCTGTACTGCAGGAATTACTCTCCATAACGAGGCCCTGGACTGGGCTGCAGCAGGAGACCATGTCAGCCTGACGGTCACTGGGATGGATATCATCAAGATCAAGTAAATCAATAGTTTTTGCTGTCATATCACTTGTGTGGTGACGTGTTCTGGTGTTTCGATTATGCCTCAATTTTATTTGTTCATTACTTTATATTCTCTGACTGTTTCCTTCCAGTGTGGGCTGTGTGTTCTGTGATCCCAAGGATCCTATTCGAGTCTGTACTCGATTCAGAGCCCGAATCCTCCTCTTCAATATCGAAGTCCCTGTCACACAAGGATTTCCAGTAAGTACAAGCAAACATTCACATTTACACACACTGAAATTCTGCTAAGACCTTTTTATTTGCATGAATTGATGATGCATACAGGGCTGCATACAGTCAGATTCTGTTTTGTTGCATGTATATATTTGTTCATTAGGGGACTTTCTGTGTGCTTGGTCTAGGTGTTGTTGCATTACCAGACAGTCAGCGAGCCGGCCACCATTAGAAAACTTATCAGCGTTCTACACAAGAGCAGTGGTGAAGTCCTCAAGAAGAAACCAAAGTGAGTTTTGGAAGGGATGCTTTTCATTACTGTGTAATAAAGATTTGGCCCCTAGTTACTGCATTGGTGATGGATGGATGTATATTTTAATGCTAATACTTTTGTAATTTTTAAAAAAAACTTGTAACAGTATTGTTATGCCCTGGTATCGCTACTTTATATAAAGAATCAAATAAAGACTTTAGTTTTCCTTGTTAGCATTCACTGCTGTTGACTCTCGAGTTTGGGCCACTGTTACAAACTCAGTCTGGTGCCTGCTTACTTCAAGAGCTTTAAGATATTGGACTGCTGCTTTGTATAGTGGTACTTCCTTCAAAAATTGACAAGGCCAGCAGCTTTTAGAAATCTGTATTTAAATGTAATATTCACCATCAATCTGCATAGAACAGTGCTGCATATTACTTACTGTACTCTTGTTCCTTTTAAGGTGTTTGAGTAAGGGTATGAATGCCATCGTGGAGATCCAGACCCAGAGGCCAGTGTCATTAGAGCTGTACAAAGACTACAAGGAGCTGGGCCGCTTCATGCTGCGATATGTAGGCTCCACCATTGCTGCAGGGGTTGTCACCGAGGTAAAGTCCATCTAACCTTAGGACAAAGTCAAAACAACATATAGATTATGTTATTGCATAAAAATGGTCGGTTTTAACCTTCTGTCTTGTTCATACCGTTCTTAGTATTAGGCCCTTAAGAAATAATTAATAGTGAGATTGGTAGGCAATAATTGTCTTTTGAGGTGATGTTATCTGTATCTCTGTTTCCTTTTCTTTAATTAATGAAGTGTCCCTAGTCATCTTTCTTTTTGGTTTTCCTCTCTGCAGATCAAAGAATGAATGTCACGCAGAGCTGGTCAGACTTTGCACTGGAGACTGCATGCAGCCAGAGACAAAGTGCAATTCCTCAAAGAGATGTCACTCATGGACTGAGAACATCGCATTCATCCATCCATCTTTCCATCCAGCACAGCTGCCACTACACCTGACTGCTCTGATCAGTACTAACTAGACAGATACAGCCATGAACTGAGCTCACAGTGCATCCAGCAGCTCTGACACCCTGATATGGTGACGTCGAGCACCCAGCTAGCCCCACTTCACATTTCTCCCTTACTTTCTTTAAAAGTTAATGTGAGCATTCAGCTTCCAGTTTACATAACAACCATTTTCCATAATACGGCGCTCCCAATCAAAACTGTTGACCTGAAGTGACTAATTTTGAACTCACAAATGAATGTTGTGTTATGTGGGATTTGAAGGCAAATGTTTATTATTTTTACCATAAATATGTTTCTATCTCAAATTACATAGCTAAGAGGACAAGGTCTACAAAGACATTTAAATGTTTACTCTAACCACGCTAGAGTAGCCTGTGAACAAATAAGGGAAACTAAAATTTCCACTTCCATTTGGAGAGCAAGTTCTTATTTATGTTAACAAAATACACATTACTTGAAATGCTTCTAAAAAACTTTTCAGTAAGGCAGCAAAATGCTTTTTGAAGGGCTGACTTTTCTTCTAACAAAGTAAGACCGGGCTGAATAGAGCACGGAGTTCACAGGAACTGTATCTCTGTTTCTCCATGTGTTGAACCGGGTGTGTTGGTGACGATGGTGTGAAGAAAGATGAACATGATATCAGTAATCTGTGGTTTGACTTTTGATTTCATCAACATGACTTGTCTCTTTCTGTCAAAAAATCCTTTTTAGGAAAATGCGTTTTCCTTTTTTGTTTTCCTTTTACCTCACTTGTAAGATATGTATGTAAAAGTGCATCAAGTGGGAAGTGAAAATGTAGAAGTAATCATTTCCAGTCAGGTTTGACAGTGACACAGCTTGTTCCCGCTGGAGTGGAAAGCACCACAGAAGACACCTTTCGCCACCACTCTAAGGGAGCGCGTAATGAGGAGACTTAGCAAAACTGTTTCAGGCTGTAGAGTCTGAGGTGATACCTATATGTGTTACATAGTTGCTCATCACTTCCAGTGTTACAAACCTCTTAGTAGAGTAAGTGTTGAGGGAGTGAAAAGACAAGGAAGGTTTTCAGTGAAGGTTGTGTGAGGAAGTCAGAAAAACATCAGAAATTAATTAACAATACAATGAAATAACCCCATGGCAGTTGCAGCTCAAAACCGTCCTCCATTCTTTCACTCCTGTCTTTT